AGTCACAGTTAAGTTACATAGACACACTGAATTTATAAGATTTACAATGGCAAAAGATTTGCTACTGAAGATATAAAGGAGTTAAAATGGCTGTAACAGTTTGATTGCATTGGGAATAATGAAGTTGTATATATCGTTAGCATACCTCTGAAAGGCAGAAGGCGTGATGTTGGTGTCTGTTTCAAAATCATGTGGTCCCTATTGAGAAATACAAACCCTGTAGTGTATAGTAAATGGTACTGGTAAACGGTACAGGTCTGTTAATACGTAGACCGCTGAACAACATCACTTAACCTTGAAAATGTCTTGCATTGCACAAATTGTGTTCAAGCATAAACTCGTTTTTGTTGGGCTAGAGAGGAAATTGGGGTAAACAATATGGAGAATGGGAAAAGTTAAGGGGAGGAAATGGAAAGAAAAAATAATTCTAGACAAACACAAACTTGAGGCAGAGAGGATGCATCACCAAATCCAGGTGTGATATTTTCCATCTGTTGGCTAGATTACCAACTTTGCTTTACGAAGAGAATGGTCACCTTGTCTTTTATTTGATGTTTAACTCTACCAGTGTTACCTACTCTTCTGTCACCACCAGAATAGATCACTAGTGTTCTTTTGCAAGAAACTACATATTTTAAATAATTGAACATTTGAGCCACATGATATGTTCCTTAGTTTGTACAAATCGATAGCTGAATGCTAAGGTTTGGTTCTAGATGGTGTGTCAAGCTCATGAAACTCTTAATTGTCTAGTCTCCTGACTAATTAATAGGAGGGAAAAAGTGTAACTGGTCTGAGAACTCTGGTAAGAAAGAAGGTGCTTAGTGGACTCTACAACATTTAAGAACTGTCACCTTTTTGGAACTGAGAGGACTTTTGTCGTCTTCACAAGCTTGAATGAGTAGTCTCAAAGCATAGCCCTATATAGGGGTTTGGGTTGAATTTGTACAAAAATTGAAAAGATAGAAGAATGATGCCTTGTCTAAATGCATTTGTCTTTAAGTAAACTGATAGTTTGGGACAGAAAGTTGCCTGTATTGATTTGCGTGTGGGGGGGTCTGAATTTTAAGTTTGTAGTCTTGGAAAGTGTCTGAAAGGGAGTGATCTAGACTACTTCCACTGACAGATGCCTGCTATGTAAGTTCTCTCTTGTTAATACAATTTTAAAGGTACTCTTTCAAAAACTAACTAAATAAATGACATACCAAGACTGCTGAACTGGTATGAGATTCCATTGCTCATAATGGTGGCTGGGTAGTACTTGCAGAGATTGGATTAAATGTAGGCTTCTGTGTTCTGCATAGGTGTGCGCAGGCACATTCTCCCAAGCTTCCCATCTTGATGAGTGATGCAAGGAAAAAGCGAAGAATTAATTCTGCCTTGTAACTTCCTGATACATTGAAAATTTTAGGTTGTATAATACAGTGGTTTCCAGCCAGTGAGCAGAGAGCACATGGGAGATGAGATACAGGACCCAAAATGGTAATTCTGATGGGTCTCTGTTGACTTTTTCAGAGAAAGTAAGGAGTCAGCAATTGTATTCTCGGGACTACGGCAGTACGTGTTGAACCTCCTGAGGCAAAAGCATTACCGGTCTTCTTGGATAAGGACCATTTAAGAGAAATACTGAACAAAAATAACATCTCATGTTTTGGTTGCTGCATGGGGGTGTGTCCCTTCTAAGGGTTTTTTTGGGATGCCCTTCCCATTCCCACATGAATGAATTCCTATGTAGCTCTGTGCGTAATAGGTTTACCCGAAAGTACCAGGTTGACTATGTGGTTCTTTATAGCAGTAGTGACAATAAAAAAGACTTTTGTAATTTCATCCTGCCAAGAGCCTGGACAGACAGAAAATATACTGCAGGTTTCTTATACAGTCAGGAGGACCTCAGAACAATCTTGATTTTAACAGAAGCAATACATGCATCTTAGTATTCATTTAAGAAGTGTGTTTATTTGTTTATTTGTTTTTTGACTGGGGAAATTTTCTCCTTGACATTAGGTACACTACTCTCAAAGGAATTACTTTTAAGCTGTTTGAGGTCACTTAAAATTTTTCTTCGTACTTTAAAACATTTAGAATTTCATAGACCTTAGTGAAATTTCATAGTCTTTTGTGACATGCCTAAGAAAGAAAATACAATAAACAAGAGGTAGAGTTTTCAGTCAAACTGAAACTTGAGAACTTGTAATCAAAAGAATACCTGATCTTGTTACATTTGCATTTATGAACTTCAGTGAGGCTTTACTGGTAGAGGAGTACCGGTGCAGTATGACAGCCCAGACTGGTTCAGTTGTGGTTAAATTCAACTTCAGGTAAAAAACTTGTCACAACACACACAATGAATAGATTGCTACTTGAAAATGATTTTTTTATGGCCTTTGGAAAACCAAGATAAAACAGTTTCTTGTCAAGATGCATCTAATCTTAAGTACCTTCTCATTTTACTTGTTCACTGATTGCACTGATGGATCTGAATGAAAAATTATGTACTGCAAAGCTCTGTTGTAGTATTAATTTTCATCTGTTACAAGCTATCATATATTTTTTCCAAATAGAAATATCCTTCTATGTGAATTTAATAATTCAGCTAATGATAATTCATTGATCAGGTATTACATTGTGTAGAGTACAGCTTCCAAGAATAATGGTGATAATGAGTTAACATGTGACTTAGGGAGAAGACTGGGAGCCTTTTTTTTTTTTTATTAGCATCTGAACTCCTGAAAGTGTGAGTATTTTTTTACAGAGCTAACTTACTGCAGTTACAACTTGTTCTGGAGTTGAAATCTCGCCTCTTTATTTTTTAAGTAACGCTGGTCAAGTCAGTCAGCTTTCATTCAAATAAAGTTAGTGGCTCGGATAGAGTTGCGTCCACCAGTGTGACTTAGCATGAGTTGTGGAGTTTTAGCGAAGTTTATGAAACTTTAACAGACTAATACTCCATTAAACAATGTGCTATCAAAATACATCCAGTTATCATATGCAAAAGGCCATATGCATTGTAACAAGCTGTCACTTCCTAATTCTCAGAAACCATTGTTTTTTAGACATTTTATGCTTCATGGCTGTGGGAAACGAGCAGAATAATATGAACAGAAGTAATTCTGTATCAGAATGCATGAGGCCTGGTTTCCTGTAGACTTATTTTCCTTGGTTAATGGGACATGTAAGGAAGTATGAGATCTGACTGAAACTTTTTCTGTAGATGGAACACTTCAAAGGACTGCTTTTATGGATTCTTGGGTATCTGCTACAGTATACATTCACTCTAGGCATTTCCACGGTCTCCATCACGTAGCTTGTTTTAATAAACCAACTTTGATCAGTTAGCTGCCTTAACCAGATTTGATACTGGCTTATGTATTCAAGGGGAATGATAACAGCAACAGTTAATCGTTCCTCCCATAGCTTGAGCAAACTGTCCTGTAGGACAGCCCATCTGTCCCAGTTCTTTCTTTCTCTGGAGCAATTTGGTGTCTGTAAACCATCTTCTTTCTCTGAACCGGAGATGAGGGAGAATCATTTATCCTCTCAAAAGGGAGAACTGGAGGAACGAAAAGCATCTCATTTCCTTGCACTAAGGAGTTCAGATGATTTTTCTCCTCCAGTTCACCACTCTTCTGCCAAATATTGACTCTTATCCCTGCCTTTCTAGGGCACTTAAAGCTTGAATGCATGCTGATCTCTGTTGTTTCTGAGGCCTTCTTAAAATTTTCGCTTACTATGTTAGTAAAGACTCTCCTTCCGCGTTAACTCTTAGCATGGCTTCTGGTTTGTTAAATGACTCAATTTCAGGCAGTCTTAAATAGTCAATAAAATATCATTTTATAAAAAGTTTGAAAAATTACAACTCTTATTATCTACTGTAGAATGTGGAAAACGTTTTTAGTTTTGGTCTAAATTAATAAAGGTTATTAAAATTTCCTATTTCAGCTGAAAGCTTTTTTTTTTTTGCTGTTTTTTTTTTTTTGCTCATCAGCTTGGAGTCCAGTCGTCTGGACATCAGACCTAGAAAGGTTTGCATATTTTTCAATGTAACTAGAAACTGTGGAGGTATTACTTACATTTTTGCCACTCAGAACTAACACTTTGCACTACACTTCTTGAATTGCAATGGTAACTTCTTGTATTTCTAAATATGCAGAGGCAGAAAAATGTTAAATGACTTTTGGAGTGCTATGGATCATGTATGAAAGAAGTGCTACAGTCCAGTAGCCTACCTTGGAGTGGTTTAATGGGAATCCTGTTAATTCCCTTCTAGTTGTTGGGCTGGCAGAAGTGCAAAGACCGTGGCACAATACTGAGCCTTTTACAGGGTTTTCACCTTGTCATCTAGATAGAAGATAACAAATTTCAGCTTTTGTGTTTGAATGTTGTCCCCTCTTCTGCTTCTGCAGTTTGTTTTTCGGGGTCACCTCCCCCACTTTGTAGCTGATGAGCAGTTTTGCATGTAGGCAGCAAATTTCCTTGAAAAACAGCGTTGTGATGTTAATATAAAAATTTATTGAGGAGGAGGTGTTTTGTTTCTGCTGAAGCCATTAGTTTTACTGCTGTGTTTTCATTACCCTGAAAGGTTTGCCTGCAACTTATTGAGCCTATGAACAGGAGCAGATTCTGGGGATGGATTCCCCACTCCTTATGTTCAGTATCTCCAGTGACCATGTCTGAGGTAGCTATGTAGACTCATAGTGACTGGAGAGAAATGAGTGTTTCCAGAGCGAAATTAACCTGAGCCGTTTTAGGCTGCTAGTTTAAACTGAGGTGAATTGCATCCTAGTTGTGCCAATTTCTCTTTTAGAGAAATTATTAGAAAAGATTAATTGCATTCAGAAGTGTTAAGACTAAAAAAAAAAAAAAACACTGGATGGTGGATTTTGCTGCAAAACTGTATTAAAAAATCAGTATATTCACTGTATTTTATTCAATATTTTTGTTATTTTGAATCGTTGTAGACCTGGTTTGTCTGATGAAACATGATGTTTTTCTTTCAGGATTAAATTTCTGGGAGTTACTGTTTAACAATGTTTGCCAATCTGGAATTAATTGAAGAGCTGTTGCATGACGTAAGACTGAAGTTGTGGAATTAATTTGGGTAGGTAAAAGAAATATGTGATGCATTTGGATATCTCTTGTTCTTATATATTCCCATCTGAACTGCCCAACTAACAGGTTCTTGCCTTTAATTTTTGTTTGTTTGTTTGAAGGGCAGGGCAGGGCTGTGCTGTCTCTAGAGCTGACTTTTCAGTCTGCCATGCAGAGTAACTAGTGATCGACGTAACGCTTGTAGCTGTTCTCAGACCTTCCATCCAAAGGGGTGAGTTGGGCTGCTTTCATGATGTTATCGATCTTTAATGCCAGAGTTTGAAATTCAGTAAGTTCTAAATTACTGGAAGTACTGCTAGGTAAGTTTTTTTCGAAGGTAATTTTGCTACATGCTTAGGTTTATTTTTAGGTATTCTTTTACATTAAATCATTGATTCTTAACCCCATTTAATCTATGCATGTAACAGTGAGGCACTTATCTGCAGTTTGTTTAAAAGTCTTTAGTCTTTTTATGGTATTTGTGCCCAAAACAATGATGTAATTTTAATCTCTCTATCATAAGTTGGTTGTGTGTGTATATATATATATATATAAAATTTATTAACTGCTCATATTTAACAAGCTCTGAGACCACTATGCTAGATATGAAGAAACCTTGAAAGAGTAGGCAGAGGGTGATATATTGTTAACAAATTTGCAGTAGAGAAAGTGTTACGGTCTGAGTATACTTAAGTTTTATAGCTAGTACACTTTAAAAGTATGCTTCTGTGCATGTATGTATTATGTATTAAAAGCAAGCCATCTTCAACAGAATTATGGCAATGATAAACCTCATCCATCCCCATCCTAAAAAGCTTACAAATACCTTTAACTATTCTCTCATTGGCACTGAAAACAAAGGAAATAAGCACATTTTCAGTTGTCTTATGCATGACATGCTTTTTCCCAATTTATTCCTGTTAAACTGCTTTAAAAAACATTATTCAATGAAGAAGCAAGGAGTGCTCTGCCTCTTTGAGAAAATGTCACTGTTTGCTGCTATCAGATACTTTCTCCTCACTCTTAATTCTGGGTTCTCCAAGGGGCTTGACTGTAGTCTCATTTCTGAACTGATTTTTCTATTCTGTTCCCTGTTTAAGCTGCTTTAGATAATTGCCAGTGTAAGGATGAGGATCTCCACTCAGTGTTAGCTTCTAGCATTTGCTAATGAAGGACAGGAGCTCATCGTTCCTTTTGATTATTTCACTGTTTGTGAAGAGACAGCTTTTATGCTTTCCAACCCATTGTGTAGTTTGGAAGAGTACTTACTTCAGGGGTGGAGCACGATTCTAGTACTTTTATCTATTTGGGCTCCCGGCATATTTGCTCTGAGGGGGTGTATGTCCTGTTGTGACATCAGTTGTGAAAATGTTTATTCTGAGTTGACAGGAATATATAAAAAGCTTGTTA